GGATTGGAATAGAGAGAGAAGCTATTTGCAATAATCCAGTCAGTCATGAGGGGATAAGATGTCAGAGGAGAGAAGAGGACATATTTGAGAGACATATTGCAAAGGATATATTACAAAGATGAAATACACAGACCTTGGCAACGGATTAGATATAGAGAGACTGGAAGTCAGTTGAAAGGTTAAAGTAGGATAGGTAGATCTGAAAATCCTCGTCATAGAGATGATTACTGAATCCATGGGAGCTGAAGAGACCACTAAATGGTCCTATTGTATAGAGGGAAAAGAGAAGAGGGCCAAAGACAAAGCACTGTGGGTGACCCACAGTTAGCAGGCATGACCTGCATGGAGATCCATCAAAGGAAATCAATAAGGAGTAGTGGTCAGATAGATAGGACATAGCCGGATTCAAATTTAGGAAGATGGTCTTCCCGACGTCAGGCCTGGCTGTCTATCCACTGTGCCAGCTAGCTGCCCCAATTAAGTACTTACTATGTGCCAGATTAGGGCTGGGGAACCTGGGGCCTCGAGGCCATATGTGGCCGTCTAGGTCCTCAAGTGCGGCCCTTTGACTGCATCCAAACTTCACAGAACTAACCCCCTTAATAAAGGGATTTGTTCTGTAAAACTTGGACTCAGTCAAAACCTAGAAGGTCACATGTGACCTCGAGGCCACAGGTTCCCCAGCCCTGTGCCAGATACCATACTATGCACCGAGGATACAAAGAAAAAGAAAAGGCAATCCCTTCCCTCCCTGGAGGAGCTTGCATTCTAATGTGGCAAGATAATGTGTATAGAAATAGGTTCATGCAAGATATCCCCAAAATATTTGGAAGGTAATCTTAGTGTGAAAGGTATTAGCAGCTGGGGCACCATGAAAAGCTTCCTGTAGAAGGGGGCATTTGAGGTGAGACTTAAAGGCAGCCAAGGATTCTACTGCAGATGAAAAGAGAGAATATTTCAAGTATGGGTGGCCCCTAGTGCAAACGTATGAAAATGTGAAATGGGGCCATGTGGGGGAGGGGTACCAAGTAGGCCAGTGAGGATGGATGGTAGTGTGTATATAGTAAGGACCCCTCCATTTTGTATCTGTGTTCCCAGATCAGAGTCGTGCCTGAAGCAAAACAAGTAATAAATATTAATTCATTCATTCATCCCCATGTATGAAAGGCAGTAAAGTATAAAAAGGCTGAAAAGGTTAAAAAAAAAGTTAAGAAGAGCTTTAAATGTCAAAGAAAAAAATTTATATTTGATCCTGGAAGTAATAGGGAGCCGCAGAGGTAACTGAGGAGGGGAACACAATCACTGGCTGCAGGAAACTTTTCATGATCTCCCATGACTCTGGAGTCATAGGTTCTGGCTTCAAATCCTACCTCTGTTTTACTTCCTTGGACCGGTCACAACCTTCATGGGCCTCAGTTTCCTCATCAGCAAAATGGTGGTGGGGCAGGATTGGCAATGGCGGTAGATTACTAGATGACTTGGGAGGTCTCTACCAGCTCCAGATTTATGATCCTTTATACTTTGCAAACCACATAGCCCTATGCAAATATCAGATATTATACCTTCTAACATAATAGGATTTGATGACTAATCCAAATTCACCCAACCCTTAGTCAGTGTCTTCCCAAATAAAACAATGTCTTCAATGACCTCAGAAAGCAACTCCTCCCTTCTCTCTACCAGGGACCAATTCTTCTAATCATTTTGTTGGTCTTTCTCTGAAACTTCTCCAACTCAATGGCCTGTGCCTTTGTTATGTAATCCAGTAATCCAGGTGTGGCCACATGGTGGTTTTATAGAATATACTAGCTTTTATTTAGTTTCTAATACTCTTCTTGACCCATACCCAATATTTCATTGCCCAGTTGGAGTACAGTAGCTATTAGGCCAAGGTCTTTAATGTGAACCAATTAATGCATGCCCTTAATTAATCATACCAGACTGGTGATCCCCAACCCTCTGGAACAGGCCTTTTGCCCAAATCCCAGATTCCACCCTTGAATTCTTTCTAAAGTCTAGGGTAAATGCCATTTGTCCTGCTAGTTCGTCTGTATCGTCTCTGTCTGGTTTGTTAATTAGGCCAAGTTAATCAATGAGTATAGATTCTAGCACCTAAAAACATACCCATAAAGGAGAACTATAGGGTGTAGTGTCCAGTTAGTTGGTCCAGTGGATAGAGCAGTAGGCCTGGAATCGAGAAGACCTGAGTTCAAATCTGGCCTCAGCAACTAGCTCTGTGATACTTGGCAAGTCACTTAACCTTGTTTGCCTCAGTTTCCTCATCTATAAGATGAGCTGGAGAAGGAAATGGCAAACCACTCCAGTAGCTATGTTATGAAAACCCTCAAGTGGGGTCATGAAGAGATTGAACAGCAACAACATCGGGTACAGTGCATTCATTGCACAAATTCTTCTCTGGTTTCCTTTCTGATCCCCAGCCAGACCAGTTACCAGAAGTCCAGCCTTGGGTTTCTGGCCTCGGAATCTAGAAGATGCTAGATTCCAGTCCTACCTTTGACCCATACTGACTTGATAACCTGGGAAAGTTTCAGTATTCAAGACAATTCTTTTTCACTATAAGCTGTAGTTCATTTACCAATCTACATTGGTAGAGGGGGTTTCCTCATCAGAATTTTCCCCTATTAATGAAATCACAGGTCTGGTCAAAAAAGAGGAGGGGGGAGGTGCAGGCAGGGAAAGGAAGGTACATTGTCCCACTGGTAAGCATTTAGTCAAGAGAGAGATTCTCAGACCTGGAAAACAATTGGGCGAGTCTCTGTTCTGGCGGAATTTGTAAATGATTTCTGATACTTAAGCAGAGATTAGAGAGGGAGCTAAGGAAGAATTTGTACAATGAATCTAACCCAGGCTACTAATCAGAAATACAACAATTATCCAGCATCTATCTGTGGAAAAACGTGATGGATTTGGAGTCAGAGACCTGGGTTTATAGCCCAGCTCTACTGCCTGTGTGACCTTTGGAAAGACATTTAACTTTTCCTAAGTCTTCCTATCTATAAAATGCCTTCTAACATCTATTAATCTATAAGACAAGAAAATTGGAACAAAATATTTCTTTTTTAAATAAATTTTTATTAGTATCGCTTGCCTTACATTGCCTGGATTTCCCCCTATATCCCTTTTTCTCCCCTCTCTGAGAGTCATCATTATGACAAACACGTGTAAAAGGAAAAGACTAGGAAAAAAAATCAGCAAAATCAACCAATAAAACAACAACAATAACAAAATGATGTCATATACAATGTTCTATACCCATGAATCTCCCTATCTCTGTAAAGGATCATGTAAAGGTAATTCCTAATATCTCTTTTTAGGGGCCAAGCTTGTTCTTTATAATTTCACAGTTTTCATTTATCGATTGTTTCCCTGTGGTCGCTTCTTTCCATTTACGTGGTGGTAGTCATTGCCTATATTGTCTTGCTAGCATTGCCTACTTTGCTCTGCAACAGTTTATGTAGATTTTTCCATGTTTCTCTGTATACATCATGTTCATCATTTCTTACATCACAGTAATATTCTATTACATTCATTTACCACAGTTTGCTTAGCTATTCCCTAATCAATGGGTATCTACTTTGTTTTGAGTTCTTTCCTACCACAAGAAATGCTGCTTTAGCAGCTAGGTGGTGAAGTGGATAGAGCACTGGCCCTGAAGTCAGGAGTACCTGAGTTCAAATCCGGCCTCAGATTAAACACTTGACACTTACTAGCTGTGTGACCCTAGGCAAGTCACTTAACCCCAATTGCCTAAAAAAAAAAGCTGCTAAAAATGTCTTGGTCTATATGGAGTCTGTCTTTTTGTTTATTACTTCCTTGAAGTATTTGCCTAACCATGGAATTTCTGGGTCAAAGGGTATGACATTTTAGTCATTCTGTCTGTATAATTCCAAATGCTTTCCAAAATGGTTGTAGTAATTCATAGCTCCCCCAACAAGGCATTAGTGTGCCTGTCATTCCCTCAACATTGACTATCACCATTTTTGTCATCTTTGCCAATTTGCTGGGTATGAGGTAAAATTTCAAGATTGGTTTGATTTGCATTTTTCTTATTAATGATTGGGAACATTCAAAAGGAACATTCTAGCTCTAATTCTTTCATCCTATCATTCCACTTTAAAGTTTCAATGGCACCCTACTACTCACAAGATAAAATCTAAAGTGTAGTCTAGCATTCAAAACTTTCTACAATCTAATTCTTCCCTACATCTACCATCTTATTTCCCACTACTTCTACATAAACCTGCTCCAGCCAAGTTTGAAATCCTATCTCCTCCATGAAGTTTTTCTTGGTTGTTCTAGCCCTTAATAATCATTGACTCACAGAAACACAGTATTTATCCTCTGAACCCCTTCTGTATTACTTATTGGTATATACTATTCATTTGTCAATAATGGCACAATTAAGGTTAATTGGGTACTAATGGGAGGTAGTCTGACAGAGCCAAGAGAAAGCTAGATTTGGAGTCAGGAAGACCAGGCAAGTCATTTACTCATTTGTAAAATGAAAATAATAATATACCTACCTCATAGAGTTATTGTGAAAATCAAATGAGACAATACATGCTAACTTTTTTACAACCTTAAAACATCATATAAATGTTATTTAGTATTATTATCACTTACAGTATGCTACTTGGTATTTTGGGGGGAAAAAATATGTTCCTGTCCTGTGTTCTTAACTAGATTGTGACTCTTTGGGAACAGGAATCATGTTCTATGCCTTAGCATTTATAACTCCTACATATTGCAGGTGTTCAATAAATGTTGTAGAAATTGACGGGATATAGTTTTAATAATGATTATATTCACATACACAGGTTTTTTTTTCTATATAGAGCTTGAAAGGATAGGGTTGTTAGGTAACAAATATTCAGTTTTTTGTAAATATTCTTCCATTTCATTTAAATTGTTAAATTTATTGGCATGTAAGTAGGCAAAATAACTCCTTATAATTGCTTTAATTTTATCTTCATTGGTGGTATACTCACTTTTTTCCATTTTTAATAATAGTGATTTGGGTTTTCTCTCTCTTTTTAAATCATATTAGCCAATGTTTTATCTACTTTATTGGTTTTTATCTTATAAAACCAACTCCTTGCTTTATTTATTAATTCAACAGTTTTCTTACACTGAATTTTATTAATCTCACCTTTAATTTTTCATTAACAAGTATGAAAAATTTCTCATCACAAATTGTATTGCTCCTGTGTGGATTTCTGGGTATCCTTTTTTTCACTTCTTGAGATACTTAAAGTTAAGACTTCTAGCATATCAAATTCTGGGGCAAAGTAAGAACAAGGAACAAACATTGTCTAACGGAAAGAGCTACAGATTTGAAGCCAAAAGCTTTAGATACTCATCCCAGCATCTACTTACTACTTATGTGACCTTGGGCAAGTCACTCTTCTTGGTAAAATGAGTCTTGGTAAAATGAGCCTCTTCTTAGTAAAATGAGTTTTAACAAGGTGATTGTTAAGGTCCTGTCCAACTCTAAATCCTCTATTTTCAATGAAAACAGTGAAAACATAAGGGGTTTGAGCTTTAAGGGCTCTAGGGTAATGTTATTTGCTTGGTGGTGAAATCTATTTTACAACCATAAGTTCAGAAACAGCAGATTCATGACGAGGATATAATATTTGTAAAGTGCTTAGCATGGTGCCTGGCACATAGATGGTACTATATTAATTATTATTATTATTATGAAACAGACAGTAAGATCCATGAGCAGCCTTCTCCACCCCGCCAGAAAAGGCCAGATGGGAGCCTATTAAATGAGAAAACCAAGTGCCTCCAAAGACTAGAAAGGAAGGCAGCACATAGGGAGTGCCCCTGAATTACATGGCGGTGAGCACAGTGGGCAGCCCCTTTTACCTCCTTGTGCCCCTGGACAATGTGTGAATTCTCTTTGTGAACTGCCCCAGAACAAAGTCTTTGTTATAGCTTTAACTCAAATTCCCAATTTCCAAGCTCCTACAACCCTAGGGATCAACTCAGGGGTGATAAGATAAGATTTAACATGTCCCTGGGATCCTAAAGTCTTAGGATGGAATTGTAAAGACCTTAGAGGTCATCTAGTCCAACTCCTTCATTTTACAGAAGAAAGGATTCAGGCCCAGGGAGAGAAATAACTTGCTCACAATGATAGTAAGTAGCCAGATGCAGTGCTCCAGTATGAGCTATTATGTGTTTTTTGGATTGCATTAAATAAAACCTGTCCTGTATCCAATGCCTTCTTATCCTGAATGCTTGCCAGGAAACTGAGGCCCTTTTGGAGTAAAACAGCTAGATATCAATGTTCCTGGGGTTTTTCTTGAGCTAGAGAGATTTTGTAACAAACCTCTTACAACCCCTTAAAAACAAATTAATGTACCTGGGTTCCATCATGTCAATGACCAGAGCACAACTGCAACGTGCTACATATGAAAAGCAGTCAGGTCCAGTGTCGGTTGGGAACACAAAAAGAACAGAGGCCCACTGTGCTCTCTGGGTACCTCCTTATGATTAGTGCTCTCCCTGCACCCTCCTCCAACAATCTTTAGCAATGGATGACATTGCTTATATTAATCAGCTTCATAATAGCCTTATAAGGTAGTAATCACCTCTCTACCCCTTAACTAGAAGGATGGGTCAAGCAAAGTATCTGGAGGAAAAAGGCAATTGGCTTAATACAACCCATAGGTCTCAATTTTTTTTTTCTTCCCAGGTGGGGATAGAAAGGAAAGAAGAGTCCTGGACAGAGTATCTAGAAGGCATTTTGTTCTGTATCTTTCAAGATTGGACTTTTCAGGGAAAGGAGAAGAGAGAGAGACATCAATAATGGAGCAATGCCCACCAAAGCAGGAGCCTCCTTTTCTCCCACTATTCTTCACTTTCTGCTTCCTCTTCACTGCCATCACTTAGAGGAAATTCCTTTGGGACTTCTGCATTCCATGGATCTTAGTCTCCATTGGGCATTCCTGGTTCAAAATTGCCTGTAGAAAGAGAGAGAAAGGGAAAATACTACCACTTTGTCTATAGACCTTACTTCTCAGCCACCCTCCAACTATCCCCAAAGTCTCTGCAAAGTGAATTTTCACATCAAAGTCTGAAAGGGCCCAAGATCTGCTTTTTTAGGCTTCCTGCATCCATTCAAGCTCAACTAAATTCACGATTAGCAGTCAACCTTCAGATGTCACTGAGTTATACTTCTATGTTCTGTGAACCCACAGGGAGAGGCAAAAAAAGAAAGAGGAAATAAGATGAACCTTGAAGGAGAAAGGCAGAAACCTTCAACAGAAAGGTGAATTATTATTGTTCTAATAATTGTTATTGTGGATGTGTGATTTCATCAGTGTGAGTTCCCAATGCGCAAACTTCATATACCACTGTGTCTCAGCCACTTCTGGGTAACTCACTGTCATGAGTTGCCCAGGGAATTCAAAAATTGAATTACTTGTCCCTGTATCACACACAACTAGTATGTGTCACAGACGGCTTGATCCCAGAACTTCTTCACTACAAGATCAACCCTCTACCTACTAACCTATGATGTCTCTCCTCATAATTATCATGAAAAAAGATGAAAAAGCTCATGAGCTAAGAGAGAAAGGATAGAAAAGGAGGAGGGCAAAGAAATGTGAGGGAAAGGGAAGAAGAGGAAAAAAAAAGAAGGAAAATAGAAAAGAAAGACTCTGTCAGCATGGTTAGAATCAGTCCCTTACGGTCTTTTCTGCCTTGGCGGGGGGGCTTCGAAGGTAGTAGCAGAGTGGAGCATAGGCAATGTTGATGACTCCAATGATGACCATGAGCCAGGGAAAACCAATAGCATGGACAATAGCACCCCCAGTAGATGGACCTGCAAGGGTTGAATCGAGCATTTATTATAGATTCATTGTCATAGAAATATAGATATTGTAGCATTTATTGATAGATACAGACAGACCAGAAAAAGGACGGGTACTGTGCTGTTGGCAAATAGGAAGGATACAGAAAGGAGACACTCACATCAGTTAAAGGTCCCAGGATTAAGGGTCAGCCATGAGTGACAAAGAGTGCTTTGGATATTCTACATTTTTAATCTGACTGACTAATCAAAGTGGGAATAAGGAGATGGAAGAGGGATAAGAGCTTATGGGGAAGCAGGTCTAGACTGTCGTCTCTACAGGGGTCATACCAATAGCAAATCCCATGCAGAAAGCCACATCAGCGATGGCATAGACACTCCCATACACAGATGTGTGGCGAAGGTCCACCAGGTGTGCCATGATGGGCATCATGGAAGAGTCAACCATGCCTGTGCCCAAAGCAGACAACACAGTCAGTCACTATCATCCTTCCTGGCCCGCTGGACTCTGTCCTACCCAGCCTTCTTCCTTCTGCATTTTGCCTATATGCTTTTCCACTTCCTTCCTTGGGCTCTCTCTTTTTCATTTTCTCTCTACTCTATCCCCTTTCCAATTCAATTCTTTCCTTCCTCCTCTCCTCTACCTTCCCTTCCCCAGGAAGGAATTACCAGGTCTTTCCCAAACAGCAATTCCTCACTACTGCTTTTACCTCATTTCTTCTTTCTCCCTCATTCACTCCCCATACCCAGCCTAGACCAGAGGAAGGATCAGGGAAACCAGCTGACCCAGAACTCGATATCAAGGCAAGTTCTCAGGCCCAGGAAAGCTGAAGTAGGGAGGAGAGGGAAGGGAGATGGAGGAAGAATTGCACGCTTAGCCTCCTTTGAGACAAAGTTCTTACCAATAGCAAAGCCTAGTCCCCCATTGGGACCAATGAGACCAAAAATATTCTGAGCAAGAGGAACCTTTGAGGAAAAACAAAAGCAGAGAGTATTCAGGGTGTGACATCCTATGAGTGTTATCCAAAGGGCTCTGATGGTTATATAAAGGGAGTAGGCAGCTCTGTACCATAGATTCTTTCCACATCTAAACCTTCACCTTCTTATTCTCCATTGTTATTGTTATCATCAAAAAGTTTTCATTAAGTTCCTAATTGTATTTGTGTGTGTGTGTGTGTGTGTGTGTGTGTGTGTGTGTGTGTGTGTAAAGGGAGTAGGTAAGTCTTCAACAAACACTGGACCAAAAGAACTACACTACAGCAGGGGCTGACAGTCTATGTCATCTCATACTAAAAATAGGATAAAAAATTATTTCATGGTACAGAGTGACCCAGGGAAAAATAACCCTAACCTTTATGTCCAATGGCAGGGATTTTTAACCTGAGGTCAAGGGATAGATTTTTTTTTTGACGGGGGTGGTCAATGAACTTGGATTGTAAAAAAAGTTTGCAATTTTATTTTAATATAATTGATTTATTTAGTAATACTATGTGTTTTATTTTATGTATTTAAAAATATTATTATGAAAAGAGGTCCATAGTTTGATAGTTTGCGCTATACTGCCAAAAGTCACCATGACATAAAAAAATTTAGAACCTTTAACAACATACACACACACACAAACTTCTCAGGGCTAGTTCCCTCTTTTCCCCCATACTTAGTCTTTGTCCCATTCTTTTGAAAGTATACTAATCTCCAATGACATATTAACTGATAAGTAAAGTATTAACAACTGATAATTTGTTATCAGGTACATTTGCATTTTAAAAGGAGATTCTTTTAAGGAGAACAATCATTTTCCTATTTCTCTGATTTATTTGGAATGTTGTCACAATGGATTACTTCTGGATGGAAGGGATCTTTCCATTTCAGCTATTGTCACCATTCTTCTAGTCTTGGGAAGGACTGAATAAAGGATATCTCAGTATGAATTCTCTGAAACATCATTAACCCGTAGGTCCCAGGCTATAGTGCACTGATTCTCAGTCATTCTGGCTTTTTCTTCCCTCACTAAGTTATCCCCTTCTTACCTTCTTTCCCCTCCCACCTTCAAGTCTCATGTTGAATCGTGACAGAATTGTAATTTGTGGTTACCCAAACCAGTTTCAACCTGCGTCATCACCTCTCGCCCAGATCTTGAGCCCCTCCCTGAATAAGGCCTTTGTTTCAATGAAGGTTTTTCCACCAGGGGATAGAAGATGGATATTTGTTGTCCTGCCTTGTTTCTCAAAAGAATTGTCTTTGAAGCTGGGTCCCCCTAACCCAAAGACACCTAGTTATACTCACACAGAGCAGGCTGGTACCTACTACCAACATCCCAATCAAAGAACAGAGCCATCTATAAAAAGGAAGCAAGCAACTACTTTAGGGAGACATCATTCACCTCCAGCCCCAGCCCCAGCCCCAGCCCCATCCCTACCAAAGATGGCCAGTAAGTACACTATCTGGGTACCATTTCCAGAAACTACTTTCTATATAAACAAAGCAACATCTCTAGACCTGACTAGATGTGGACAGTGCTTCACCTCGTGGAAGGAAGGATACTCTTCTCTGTTTTTCTTCCTAGAGGAGATGTGGTGGGTATCTGAGCTGTGAGATTGGCTCTTGAGTCTTTGCTCAGGTCACTTCCCCTCCTTGAAATGCCCTCCCTCTCCCTTCACTGATCTATGTCCTAATCATTCTTCAAGGCCCAGCACAAATCCTCAGTAAGTCCTTCCCAGATCACCTTAACCTATGATGTATTTTTCCTTTTCGATGCCCAGTAAACTGACTACACTGCTGCTTTTGGCATTTGCTGGCCATGTGCTGCTTGCGTTCTTAGTGACCTTTTTTTATGAGTATATCCTTCCCAACCCCACTCCCGACTAAATCATAAGATCCTAAGGAATAAAAACTGGGTCTTATATTTCCTATGGCCCTCTTAGGTCTTAGCACAGTGCCACAGACATAGTAGGGGCTCAGTAAGTACATCAATGGACACATTCTCCATCCCTATGTGGCCTTCCCTTCAATCACATCCAAGGTGGCTTTTTTCAGTCTAAGATGGAAAATCATGTTGTTTAGAAGAAACTCCAAAATTTCTGAGATAAAAAGACCCTCAGAGGCCATTAATATCTGAACAAGAGCCTTCTATAATATATCCCAGACAAATGGCTGTCCACCCGTTGTTTGAAGATGTCAAGTGATGGAGACCCCAGTACCTTGTGAGGGAGCACACTCCACTTTTCAGGTAGTTAAGAAGTTAAGAAGGCAGCTATGTGGTGAAGTGAATAGAGTGCCAGGCATGCAGTCAAGAAGACTGATCTTCCTGAGTTCAAATCTGGCCTCAGATACTTACTAGCTGTGTGACCCTGGGCAAGTCACTTAACCCTATTTACCTCAGTTTCCTTATCTGTAAAATGGGCTGTAGAAGGAAATGGCAAACCACTCTGATAGCTTTGCCAAGAAAATCCCAAATGGGATCATGAACAATTGGACATGACTGAAATCACTGGACAGCAACAACAAAGTTGTTTGGAAGATTTTCCTACATTGTTCCTTTCAGTTCTAACTTTGTGTGATTCCATGATCTCCTTAACAGATGCTACAATCACTATCTTGCCTTTCCACATCCTCTCCATCTTACAGATTACTTACCGACCCATCTTGTTGGCCAATACGCCAAAGAGGTTGGTGCCAATGAGATAGGACACACTGGCAGGCAGGAAGGCTAGACCTACAGAGAGAAAAACACTTCTTTGGGTTTTCTCATTTTTGCTCCTATAGGAACTTCTCCCTTCGAAGGAATCATGCCCCTGTCTTACACTTTGCTCCCTAGGATGGTCAGAGAAAATCTTTTCTCTATTTTACAAACCCCGTATCTACTCTGGGCCTCACACAACAAAGGAAATCCCTGTGCAAAGCAGGTATGTTGCCTTCCCGCCTATACCTCGACCTGTGGCATAGAATGAGTGATACGCAGGAAAATATTAACTTGAGCACTGTAGTTCTTGCTTCAAACCATGGGTGAAATGAGTGAAAAGAGGTAGGGAACATTCCTGCTTAGGAGGCAGAGGAAAATGCTTATTATTTGTGTTAACTATTACCATTGTGTAGTGGGAAGAACATTGATTTAGGAATCAGATCTCTGTATCTTGGTAATTTTTTTTTTGTCATTGTCCAGATTGTAACTGGAACTGAAGTTGCTGGCCTCTTACAGCCTCAGTTTCCTAATCTGTAGAATGGGGTGATAATAGTACAGATCTGACCATGTCACCCCATCCCCTATTACCTCCAGGTCAAATATAATTCATAACCTGCCCCCTTCCTATCTTTCCAGGTTTCTTATACCTTCACAACCCAGCAACAGTGGCCTTCTTGCTATTCCTCTAAAAAGACTTTCCATCACTTACTCTGGACATTTTCATTGGCTGTTCCCTAAAATCTGTAATTCTCCCTTGGCTTCCTCAGCTTCCTTCAAGTCTCAGCTAGAATCCCACCTTCTTCAAGAAGACCTACCAATCCCCTTTAATGTCATTACTTTCTTTCTGAGATCATCTCCAATTTTTCCAATATGTTTTGTTTCTACATGGTCCCCTCCCCCTCCCCCATTAGATTGAGCTCCTTGAAAACAGGGATTTGGGAGGGCATAGAAAATGTCTAAGGTGGTGCAGTGGATAGAGCACCAGCCTTGGAATCAGGAGGACCTGAGTTCAAATTTGGCCTCAGGCATTTGACACTTTCCAACTGTGTGACCCTAGGCAAGTCACTTAACCCCATTGCCAACTCCCCCCTCCCCCAAAAAAGTGTCCAGCAAATAGTGGGTGCTTAATAATTGCTTGTTTGCTTGGCTAATACTAGCACTTTCTTTTTCGTGGAATTGTTGTGAGAATCAAATGAGATATGAATTATAAAAGTATTTTACAAATGGAAAGGCACTATACGATGCCAGTTATTATTCTTTCCCCTTCTAATGTCCCTGGATCTTCAGCCCTCAAGAACACTTCCATTTATGAAGGTGATGCCCTTGACTCAACAGCAGCAAAGCTCAGAGTTTTAAGTAACACCCCACTTTCCAAACCCCAGAAGTGTGGATGGATTTTCATGGAGCCATTATCCACTTTCCCTCCTGACCGTGCTTCTGTACAAGGGCACACTTACCAGACGGCTGTCCAAAGCTACAGGTAAGAGAAACCATACCAAACAGGAAGTGTCAGGGTCTTAAGCAAAAGACACTTCTCTCATCTGTCCAGTGTTCTCCCAATCTGAACTGACCCAAAAGGGCAGCTGCAACACCCAGAGAAAGACGTAGCCTTAGAATTCAAGGCTGGGAGAAGCAGTGGCATGTTAACCCATGATTGGAACTCAATGGCTTTTATTGGGTCCTATGCTATCCAGCACTTTTATGAGAAAATAAGATACTGTGTGTATCTCCTGTTATGTGTGGGAGCTAGGGAGAGAAGAAAAGGGAAGGAGAGAGAGAGAGAGAGAGAGAGAGAGAGAGAGAGAGAGAGAGAGAGAGAGAGAGAGATGCAATAAGTCCTTTTGGACTACACACACCAGGAATAAATAAGCAGTCCAAATCAGGGGCCTGGTTTCCTCCTCTGTGTCTTAGGCCCCATTTCCTACTTCTCTCTGGGTCAAGGGGAAGCAATATTGCCATACTTTAAAAGATAAATAACCACTGAAATTGTAATTAGGCCAGAGATAAATGTTTCACAAGTTACTGGGTGTGACTTATTTATTTTCAATATATACTTTCAACAGACAGGAAACAGAGTGCCTCTGGCATGGTTTATCTACACTAAATGACAGCTGTTTTAGCTGATCCTGTAGGTCTGTAATAATTACTCTTTTTAATGAAGGCAATAGCTGTCCTATTGTGCCTTGGGTGAAGTTTCTTCCTGGAAACCTTCTGGTCTCTTAGATACATCTCTGACATCTCGGTTATTGCTTCATCCTACTCCATAAACCTGAACAAACAGTTTGACAACATCTTGCAATGTGTAATCCATTCCCTTTTGACTGGCATTCTGTGAATAAAGAGGTGCCAGAGTGGGAGGATGCTGCTTATAGCCATGGACAGACTGCACGGCAAACCCTTTGTAGTGGTAGGACATTGCTTTTTAGCGTGTCTCAGATACTCAGGTATAATAGATTGTACCACGGCCCTGTTTCTTTTAGGCTGAATTCAGGGCAAAATGTTAGAGAAAGGGCTTATAAGAGGTAACTGCTTCCTACTTTAGCAATGTGCAAATGCATCAATGTCCTTGCTCAACAAAATGATTGCAGCATCTGGAAGGCCAAAGGTGGTATGATGTGGTGGGGAAAGTATTGAACTGGGAATCCTCGGTTCTGATTCTAGTTCTGCTACTCACTCACTGTGTGACCTTGACCAAGTGACTTTCCCTCCCCAGGGCTTAGTGTCTTCCTCTGGAAGATGAAGGGGATAAAGGTAGCCAGGAGGTACCTTCCAGCTCTAGAATTCTATGTGTTAGTCTAGAATAAAAACACAGCCTCTGAAAATCCAGGAACTGGATCCAAATGCTATTTCTGATGCTCACTCCCTGTGTAACCAAGGGAAGGTCTCCTCACCTCCTTGCTCCTCAGTTTCCTCGTCTATAAAATGAGGGGTTTGGATTAAATGGCTTTTATCTATGACCCTGTGATTTTTTGAAATGCTTTCTCAGGCCTTCCCATGACTTGTTCCCAAGCAGGGTGGCCACAGCTCAGGGAAGCTTGTATCTGTTACTCACCCCCCACCAGGAGTCAAAAGAGCCAGGGGGAATATTACCTGTACAAATGGTACCTCCTGAATAGGGCCTAACTCGATTAACGGTCAAGTCCAGAGCCAGCTTCTGGTGAGGGAAATTCAATTGAGGAGAAAGTGGGGAGTACAGACGGGAGCCTAACCTCACATTGTTCCCCCTGAAAATTAGATTTGGAACATTATATTGGGCACTCAGCAAGCATCGCATCTCTATCAGCTTCTCCCCTCCCCACTGCCACCAGCCTTGACTTCAGCAGCTGTGACTAATTGGCACGTAGCCTTCCCTGTCCCTCTGCCTTGAACTTCCTGGAAAAGGCTGGGGCCTCACTGATAACCCAAACTGTGTCATAGAGGTTTCTTCCTGAAAGGTAGTCAAAAGCATAGGGAAGTTGAGCTACTAGGCCCTGGATCCACAGCCTTGCCCAAGGGAGAACAGAGTTCCAGACAAGGGAAAATCACCCCCTTCTTACCAAATCCCATCCCTTTTCCCTGGCATTCTCACACAGGCAAGATGAACTCACACACACACACACACACACACACACACATCAAGGTCTACCTTGAAGGAGAAAAGAACTCACAACAGAGTGGCCTGAAGAGCTAGACCTAAGAAGAAGAGCTAACGTTTTTTAATAAAACACCTTGAGCTCTGAAAAGTACTTTATCCATATTGTTTCCTTTGATCCCCACAATAATCCTGTGAAAAAGGTATTACTGTTTATCCCAGTTTTAAACATGAGTTAAATGAGGCTCCACAAGAGTTTAAATGACATATCCAGGATCACACAACTAGGAAATCTCTAAGGCAGAACTTGAACTCAGGTCTTCCTGATGCTGAGTCCAGTGCACTACCCACTATGCCAGGTAGGTGCATTAACATAAGAGGAGAGGGGAGATGAAGGAGAGGGGAGGGTTATTTAGTGATTTGAGTAGACGGGGGGGGGGAAGAAATAATGGATTGTAACATTAATATAAGCCTTAATACTTCCTACCCTCCATCATTTAGCAAATGTTGTCCCTCACTCTCCTTCTCACATTTACCTTTGAATTGGTTAGGGCTTGTTAGGGCTTCTCACTTTATCGCAGATCCTTGTTCTTTCCAGCAGCTAGGAACCACTTCATTTTTGCTTCCTTTCCCAAAAATCCAAAGTCTAGGCCCAGCAATGTCTATTCCTCCCTTCCCTCTCTCCCTCCCTAATGTACTCAGACTTAGCTCATGTATACCAGGCATAGGAGAGAAAACAGTGCTACTGCCCCATCAAAGGAGACAATCCATTTTTGGAGTCCAGCTAAAGAGACTGACTGGCCCATTTGGAAAGTGTCAAGCCAACAAAAGAAGACCACTCCCCTCACTACCTGCTCCACACTCCTGCTGAGATGGCTTAAGGATCTGATATTTACCCAGTTGCCACTTGGGGGAACACATGGTCTGCATCATCCATATAGGCAGTGTAGGCTCCAGTATGGCCACTCCCATGTTGGCAAAGCAGAGGGAACCTGCAGAGATGGTTCTGATGAGTTGTCCAGCTGCCCCAGCCAAAGCCCCCAACTCCCTTTCTATCCCAGCTGGGAAGGTTACCTGCAGCCACCAGGATGTAAGGGTCTCTCAGAAGAGTTAAGATGGGAGTGCCTTTGGAACTCTGGGGGAAATAAAAAAATCCCTCTGAAGGAAATGAAAATTCTTTCTGATTGTAGTAGCAACTTGTTTTTCTTAAAACATGTCTGCATCTATAATCTTCTGTGTATGGACTAGATAAAACAGTCTGTATTATTCCTATTTGACCAATGAACAAAATGAAGCTCAAAGTGAGTAAGTGAAGGGTCATTCATCCATCCTTTCATTCATTTATTCAACAAATGTTTAGTAAGTATCTATTGTGATCAAGATGCCAAGCTTCCTAGGTATTATGAGGTATGTGAAGATTTTAAAGACCTAGTCCCAGCCCCAAAGGATTTTAAATCTCATAGAAACTATAATCTAATAGGTCACATAGCTAGTTAGGGACAGAACCAGGATAATGTCTCGTCCAAGGGTGAGGAACCTTCAGCCTCAAGGCCACATGTGGTCTGCAGGTTCCCCATCCCTGGTCTAGTTCCAAACTCCTGCAGCAGCAGATAGAGTACTCTACTTGGGGGTCAGATAGCTGCCTGTAGGCAACTAGATAGTGCAACTAATAGAGTCCTGGACCTGGAGTCAGGAAGTCCAAACCCAACCTCAGAAACTAGCTGTAAGTGACAAGTCCACCTCAGTTTCCTCCCCTATAAAATGAGCATAATAATAGCATTTATCTCCTTGGATGATAGTGAGGACAAAATAAGGCAATGTTTGTAAAGTGCTTTTCAGACCTTAAAGCACTCTATAAACGCTAGATATTATTGTTATTATTATATAGACTTAGGAACAAATTCTGCCTTTGATATTTACTAGCTTACTAGCTGTATGACAACTGGGAGATCCTGCTTGGTGAGTGCCTTACAGAGGCCCACGTTAGGTAGATAGAGCCCTGGTTTCTATTTCCTCCCCACCCCACCCCCTAGCCATCTTCTGCCTTAGCTGAGTACACTCCTCCTTCTCCTCCTCCTCCCACACTCTTTTCTTTTCAGTAGCCAAAATCAAATCAATCCTTACTATTGTTCCTGGAAAGGGTGTTTATCCACTCCTATCTCTATTTGTCACTATAGTTCTACTCACCAGCCTTGTGACTTTCCAAACAAAATGCCCCTCTCAGACCACCACTGCTCTCCCTATTGGGGTTTTACCCTTCTTTTGCAATGGAAGCTCTTTGAGGTCAAAAATGGTCTTTGTATCCCCAGTGTTCATTAGCACAATGCTTGGCACATGGAAAATGCTTAACTGTTTTTTCATGCTCTTACCTACTCTAAGGGCAGTTAGATGGCACCGTGGATAGGGCATTGGGACTGGAGTCGGGAAGACATGAATTCAATTCCCACCTCAGACATTTACTAGCTGTGTGACTCTGGATAAGTCTCTCTCTCTGCCTCAGTTTCCTCATCTATAAAATGAACTGGAGAAGGAAATGGCAAACCACTCCAGTATCTTTGCTGAGAAAACCCCACAGCAGGTCACAAAGAGTCAGATAGGACTGAAACAACTGAATAACAACACCTACTGTAAGGGAGTATTAATACTCATAATGCTTACCTCACTAGGTTATAGTGAGGTTCAAATGAATTAGTGTAGGTAAAGTGTAGACAATGTGAGGAACATTTGGAGGGAGCTGCTACTCAAGTCCTTTGACCTCTATGTAGTGAAATGCCTCCATTGTCGCTGAGCTAGGGTCTAAATTTCTGTCTTTTTGAGGTCTCCAGTTTCCTGTGTAGGTAGATAGCCCACAGAGACCCCAGCTTAGCTGCTTACAATTTAGAATCCAGTAAGGGAACTGGTTTACATTTTAATCATGCTATTGTGCCCTCTGGGCATTCCACCTTGCCATTTTAGAATCATAAAATGTTTCAACAGGAAGGGAACTTAGAGTTCATGTAATTCAATACTGTTTTTTAAAAAAGAGCAAACTGAGGGCCAGGAAAAGTGACATCTTCAAGGTCACATGGCCAATTAATGGCAGTGCCAAAACCAGAACCCAGGTCTTCTGACTCCCAGTACAGTGGCTTCCCCCCCTACCCCCACCCCCAGGATACCCTATTATGTGTCTTGCTTCTCAGGTGTACTCTGACAATGTGGAAGAACTGATACCCATCAAACCATTAGTCACACAAAGGTCACTCCCCACCAGACACAGCCTGATAAATTGCTTTGGGGCATTTTTATCTGCAGGGTACAACTCAGGGGAAAACTGGAGAGCAATTTTATCTCGGATCCAGACTTAAGGTGGGGGGAGGGTTATAAAATTTAACTAGCCAAATGAAGCCATTCCAATTTTCAGAGTCTTTGTAGAAGAGTGATCAGTTTACTTCTCTGCGTGGGACACAGATTTCAAATGCTTGTCACATCTCCATTTCCTGGTACACTAAACACTACCCTACCCAGACATCCTATTCTCTGGTAGCACTTGCCATAATCCCTGGAATCCTAAAAGAAAAATGTCTGTGTCTTAGGAGTTGTCATCATCTCAAGAAGTCAAGAGATTTCTGGACACTATGGGCAAAACCTTGCAGAGTTGTTTAGCTCAGGTGAAGGATAAGGATGGGAGGACAGATGAGACCCTCATCCTTGCTTTAATTTCTAGCCTTTTGCCCATTGAGTACTGACCCCTCTCTCTGTGACTTTCCCTTATAGGTACAATAGCATCGATATCAGATGTCACAGAGTTATGACATAATCCCACATGCTGTTGTAATACCAATTTGTGCTGATCTGGAGTTCTTAGCAAGAGTAAGGCATTCTTCACTCTGAGTGGCTTCTCTCAAACCTGCCTGCCTCTTATCCAGCAATGTGTCCAGCCTTCCGTAACCTACAAATTTACACAACCTCATACTCTCCTCTTTTCTCATCTGAAGCTACCCCAGGTGCAAAAAAATCAGGCAATCCTACTTTCCTCATTTCCCAAACATCAGTATTCTTCACCTCCTTTCACCATATTCACCTGCAATTGGATGTAAGATCCAATGATCGAGTTAGTATGATCTTCCCAGCATATCAGCTCCCCAGTGTACCACTGGCAATGACTAATGAAGTTTGTAGTAGAAGATACGAGTCATCTAACGGCAGGAGTACTGGATGCATAGTCAGAAGACGTAGATTCTAAATACTTTATTAGCCTTCTGACTAGTAGCCTCAGTTTCATCACTTATAAACTGAGGATGATAAGGCGGCAGAGATTGTTTCATTCTTATGCTTGTGTCCCCAGAGGTTAGCACAATGCCTGGCACGTAGTATGCACTTAAAGATTGCCTAGTGTAGTCAATCACATTACCCACCTGACAAGGGGGAAAAGAAAGCACTTTATGAATTGCAAAGTGCTATGTAAATATGAATTATTATTGTTACTAATAGAAATAATAATGCTCTCCTATCTGCTACGGGAATTGTCACGAAGATACTTTTAGTGAGTCTAAAGGGGATGAGCTTACCACATCTCAGTAGAACCTTAGGATCGTGCATCTAGAGCCAGAGGGCCCTCAGAGGCCATCTACTTCAATTTGTTCTTTTCACAGGTGGGTAAAGTAAGGTCCAAGGAGTTTAAATGCCTTGTCTGAGTTGATACAGGTACTGTCAGAGAGACAGGATTTAAAGCCAAGTCCTCTGACTCTGGGGCCAGGTTCCTTTCAACCAAAATGCACTATTACTATTCTTATTTACTTACAAAAAACCCAATTCTTTTATGCACCTGTGAAATTCCATAGAACATTAAACGTAAAATAATGAAGCAGAATAATGACTTTTCCAAGGACATTTCTATCTGAACTCCATACACAGAAGATAAGAATGAGATGAATAGTAACTGCAATGACTACAACAGCGACAACAACAACAGCAATACAAGTACCGCTTACCTCGGGGCAGATCTTGGAGGGCTGTAGAATACAGAGTTGTAGAGCTAAAACGGGGAAAGAAATTTCAGTATGTGCGTTTTTCTTGAGACTTCAGCCGTCACTAGAGTCAATAGCAGTTTCAGGGACCTACTTCCTTCTTCCCTGGATGACTCTAGCCATGACTTTTGTCAAAATGTTTCAGTAGCAACTTCTTATAGCCCATAGCTAGCACCGTGATACAAAATATTTCTAACCCATTACTTTTAAGGATGGCTCACTCACCTCCATCCATCAAGGCCAGCAATGCCAGAATAAGGAAGGGAGCAGGTTTGCCAACAAACTCATACATCAGGCTTCCAAAGGGAGCCCCCACTGTAAAGCAAAGGGATAGCAGTGAGGTGCAGCAGAGGCTGGGTTGAAAGGTACCACTTAATAGTGTTTTGTGTCTGCGTAAATAGATCTCTCTCTTTCAACACCCCTATTAGACTTCAGGCTCCTTGGGAACAGAGTGTGCCTTACATTTCTTCATCCTGAACGCAGTGTTGGGCACATAGCAGATCTTCAAATAAAGACTTATTTGCTGGACTGTGGACTACCAGAGCTACAAAGCAGAGGTGTCAAAGATGAAGCCCATACATGGGCTAAAACACTCAAATTCCCTCAAATTAAAATGTACTTGGGAAATATTTAACAAAATAAATAAAAATACAGTAAACCATAGACAATATTACATTTTTTAAAAAGTCAATGTGCAGCCAGCAAGGATTTTTATGTACAGATTAGTGGCCCCCATTTCTATTTGAATTTGATACACTGTTGTAAAATACCTTAGTTCTCATCTTCCACATTTTTCATTTTATTGATGAGATAATGAAGGTTCAGAAAGATGAGGGCATTTGCTGTCAAGGTCACACAGCTGATAAAAACAGAGTCAGAACTTAAACCTAACCTCCTGATTCAAGTCTCTTGATCTTGCCACAAGAGGAAATTGTTTAAGGAATAAGCTAAAAAACCAGGGATGATAAGCAAAGGATAAGACCTGGGGGTAATCACAGGACCAGTAGATTATAGATTTAGATGTTCGAGGAATCTTGACAAATATCAAGTACAACCTCCTCACTTTACAAATGAAGAAACCAAGCCTCAGGAAGGGGAAAAAAACTTGTGGGAAAGTCAGCCAGGTAGCGAAATAGCAGCTTATCATTTCAAGGAACATCACCTTGCTTAAGAGAAGGAAAAAAAGATGAGGAGAGATATTGGGTTATAGAATCAGGATTCAATAATTTTATGGACTTTTATTTGTTCTTTTTTAAAGGTATTCTATTTCTTTGTTTTTATGTAACAGAGAAGATTACTAAAAAAGTTGGCTAGGCGGAAGACTGTTGCTCCTGACTTACCTACCCATCCCATGCAGGACCTGCCTTCACCTTGGCTGAATATAGGAATGACCCAGTCAGTGTACCCCAGGTCCCAAGCAATCATTAATTTTCTAACCAATATTTGGAAATAAAGAGGTATTTACCTAACACCCCCAAAGCCAGACCACCCAGGGCAATGCCCATAGCACTCCCTCTCTCATAATCATCTGTGTATACACTGGCCAGCATCCCAAGTCCTGCAGATGGAAAAACAAAAGGATAAGAAAGCAGGTTCTCAGCACCTAGGAAGCTGCAGGATGGGGGAGGTTATGGGGAAAGAACAACAGGGGAAGGGGGTGGATGTTGAAAGCTATAACACGAAATGGATGGGTTGCAACAGGACAGGAGAAGGAGGCATGCTGAAGGTAAATTTGACAATCTTGCCTCAAGCCAGTCTTGTCAACTTAAATTAGGGAAAAAAAAAAGAATTCCAATATCCCATTCTTGCTATCTCCCACTAGGTTTTACTCCAATACCTTCTTCAAAATCAAGATTTCTTTTGCATCATAGGATTTAAAGCTGACAGGGACTTCACAAGTCATTTAACTCCACCACCTCATTTTACAGATGAGGAAGCTGAGGCACAGGAAGGTGGTGACTCTCCTAGATTACACAGCTAATTCAAAACTAGGTCTTCTCTGTCTCTAGCTTCAGTGCTCTTTCTTCTACTTGAGATATGGAGGTCTCTAGCTTCTAATCCTACTGCTAATATGTAAGGATCTGAAGTTCATGGTTGGGAAAGGGAACTGAAAGGAAAGAGAGGAGTGGAATATAGGGTAGGGGAAAAAGAGAGGAAGGGAAGGTTGAGGAAGAAGAAGGAAAGTGTTGGATTTACCTGCAACTGATGAAAAAGAGGATCCAATACCTTGAAGGGTTCGGGCCAAGAAAAGAAGAGTGTAGGTGCCTGAAAAAGCAAACACTGGGCAGAGAGAAGAGACCACCGAGAAGAGCCAAATCAGCAAATGGATCCAAGCCCTTGAACTGTTTTAAGAACAATCACTGTGTCACCCGGTCTTCATACCCATTCTTGCTTTATAATGGAAGATCTTTTAACCAGGTCAGACCAAAGGGGATTTATTTCTTTTATGTGAGCAGCTCTGTGCCATAAACTGTGAGCCATACAAGACAGTTCAGGAACTTGAGAAGCTTCCAACCTAATGTAGGGGAGATCTATCAGAGAGTTAAGTGGAACAAGGGTTAGTTTATGAGACACATATAATAAAAGACCATGACAATGACCTGTCTGGCTTATGTTCAATTATTCCTAGCAAAGAGGAGTCATTGAAAAGGACACCAAATATTAAACCAGAAGATCTGTGTTAAAATTCCAGCTCTACTATTTAATAGGGATGTGACCTTTTGAATCTTAATTTCCTCACCTATAAGATGGGGATAATAATTCTGACTTTTTTGTTGTTTTTTATTGGTTTTTTTGGTTCTTTTTAGGCAATTGAGGTTAAGTGACTTGCCCAGGGTCACACAGCTAGTAAGTGTCAAGTGTTTAGTCTGAGGCCAGATTTGAACTCAGGTACTCCTAACTTCAGGGCCAGTGCTCTATCTATTGTACCACCTAGATGCCCCAATTCTGACCTTTTTTTACTCCCACAAAGTTGTTTTGAAGAGGAAATGGACCCAAAAGACCTTTGTAACCAAAATTACTGTCGAAGTAAGAATCATATGAAAGAATGATCCAAACCACTAATACTAAGAGAAATAAAAGCCGTAACAAACTTGTGATTTTACCTCACACTCAGCAAATTGACAAAGATAACAAGAGATGGGAATAGACGGTGTTCAAGGTCTTATAGAGAGATAGGTGAACTGAGGTGCACTTGTGAATTAGTAAAAGTATTCCAAAGAAATTTAAATAAATCAGATGCCCAAAAACTTTGAGCCAGAGATTCTAGTGTTACATAGCCCGAGGAGGCAGTTGACAAAAAGCAAGTGCATATATATGGCAAAATATTTATAGCAGTACTTTTTTCTTTTTTTTAAATTTATTTTTAGTTTTCAACATTCACCTCCATAAGCTTTTGAGTTCCCAATTTTCTCCTTTTGCTTCCCTCCCTCCTCTCCAAGATAGCATGCAGTCTGATATAGGCTCTATATACACATTCCTATTAAACATATTTTCACATTAGTTATGCCATAAAGAAGAATTAGAACCAATAGGAGGAACCACAAGAAAGAAGAAACAAAACAAAAGGAAAAAAAAAGAGCAAATAGTATGCTTTGATCTGCATCCAGGCTAACAATTCCCTCTTTGGGTGTGGATAGCTCTTTCCACTATGAGTCCCTTGGAGATGTCTTACATTCCTGCATTGCTGAGAAGAGCTAAGTCTCTCAAAGTTAGTCATCACATAATGTGGCTATTACTGTGTACAATGTTCTCCTGGTTCTGGTCACTTCATTCAGGATCAGTCTATACAAATCTTTCTGGGTTTTTCTGAAATCCACTTGAATAGCAGTACTTTTTATGACAGTAAAGAACTAGAATCAAAGTCGATGGTTATCAGTTGGGGAATGGCTAAACAAATTGTGGTACGTGATTCCAGAAGACTAATAGTGAAGTGTACTACTCACATTCTGATAGAGAGGTGAAGCAACTCAGAGTGTAGAACGAGTCATTTTTTTTTAAAGACACGACCAATGAGAAATTTTTTTTTGCTTGACTATAGATGTTTGTAATGGGTTTTGTTTTCAGTTGGGGGAAATAGTTGGGCAGTAAGGAAGGTAGATTTTTGATAATGGAAAAAATGAAATATAATTTTCAAAAACAAAAGAATGATAAACATGAGAATCATGGAAAGTGACATAAGCAGAACCAGAAAAACAGTATGTACAATGAATGTAAATGAAAGAACAATCACGAAACAATTGAAACAATGTTGTGATTTTATAAAGAACAAACTTGTTCCCAAAGATGAGATACGAGAGGACCTGATCCTTTGCAGAAGTAGAGGTCCACAGGTATGGACCACAACATATAATGTCAGATTTTTTTTTAATGTGTTGATTAATGTTTTGCTGAAAGTTTTTTTCCTCTTCTCCCCAAAAAAAGTCTTAATTAACTGATAGTTCTGTGGGATGGTGAGGAGAGAAATAAAGAGGAAATTTAAAAATGCAAAACCAAGTTATATCAATAAAAATATATTGAAATGTTGTATGTCTGAACTATTATTATCTCATTCTCATCTTTTTGATGGGGTTCAAATAGAAATGGTCTGAAGACATGTTGCTATTCTGGTATTATTCTTTTATAACTAAATGTTCTGTGGACTATTGCTCAGGAGGATAAAATGTAACTAACTGAGAGTATTTGGTTCTAAGTTTTTCTGTAAACTCACCTAATGAATCTTCTGATAGTCTGGTAGGGACGACATATCCTCATCCTATTGCTTACAGTTTTAATTTCTTCAACAAGGTCTCTGTATTTTGAGAACTTTTCATTCCACATAGTTTGGAGATTATGGGTACCTAGCATGGTGACATCCATTAGCAATGGTTTTAAATTTTTATGGATCAATGTTATATCTCAGTGGTTGCAGACAACAGTTTTGTCCATGATAGTGCTCTGGTTCCTGTACAATTTATTGGATTCCCAAGGATATTTTGGGATTTGTATTTGTAGTATGGGCATTTGTTGTCTGTTAAATTAACAGACTTCTGGTATATAATTCTAGCCACCTGATCATGTTTTTCTAGATATCCTGTAGATACAAAATTTTCATGACCTGCTGTGATATATTGCACAGTGCCATCACTTTATTGCACAATCTTCATCCGTCAACAAGTCTGGGCCTCTTATGGATATCATTTTTGAAATTTCTGGTGGTAATGACATGATCTTAATCTTAAATCGCTATCATAAGCCTCCATTTCCATAAATAAATCTTGCATGAACTAAGCCATTTGACTTATGCTTCTTTGTCAACAACTTGTTGCTTGAGTTTATGTGGGTATCATCCATGGAACAGCTTGTGATTTTGATCTGAAATTATAACTAATTCATAGGCATCTGGAGATAAAACACTTTCAGTTACATTTGAATATAGGCTCCTTTAGATCGAAGACCATGTTTTTGCTTTTGCCAACCTAGGAATTGAGTCCTAAAGCTCACCTCTCACATCCAACCTTTTGCCAAGTCCTGTCAATTCTACCTACACAACATTTATCTTAAATATACTTTCACTTCTTTCCTCTGGCACTGCCACAACTCTGGTGAAGGGCCTCATCACCTTCCACCTGGACTATTGACATCTAATTCGTCCTCTACTCAGCTATCAAAGAGATCTTCCTAAATCATAAGTATGATTGTGTCACACACACACACACACACACACACACACACACACACACACACATGATATATCCAATTGTTCCCTATTACCTCCAGGACAGAATATAAAAATCTCTATTGGATGATGAAGAACTAGGAATGACTTAGCTATTCTCAACAATGCAATGATCTAAGACAATCCCAAAGGACTCATGATGAAGCAAGTTATCCACCTCCAGAGAAAGAACTGATACTATCTGAATACAGACTGAAGCATGCTATTTTTCTTTTTCTTTCCTTCCTTCCTTCCTTCCTTCCTTCCTTCCTTCCTTCCTTCTTCCTTCTTTCCTTCCTTCCTTCCTTCCTTCCTTCCTTTCTTTCTTCCATTCTTTCCTTCTTTCTTTTCTTCTTTCTTTCTTTCCTTCTTTCTTTTGAGTCTTATGAAATGACTAATATGGAAATATTTTACATGATTGCACATGTATAATCTATATCAGATTGCTTACTGTCTCAGGAAGGCTGGAGGGGAGAAAGGGAGAGAGAAATAGAATTTGGAACTCAAAACTTTAAAAAAAATGTTCAAAATGGTTTTTAACACATAATTGGGGAAAAATAAAATAAAATAAAAAATAAAATATTATATATACATATATACATATATGTGTGTGTGTATGTGTATATATATATATATATACATATATATAGTATATGTATATGTATATATTTATATATATTTGAAAGCCTGTATTTAGCTTTCAAAGCCCTTCATACCCTGGCCCCTTCCTACCTTTCCAAGCTTCTTATATTTTATTTCACTCCACTTACTCTTTAATCTGGTGACATTAGCCTCCTTTCTATTCCTCTAAAAGGCTCTCCATCTCCTAACCTTGAGAATTTTCATTGGCTGTTCCCTAAAGTCTGATTTCTCTCCCTTCTTTTTTTTCTAGCTCCTGGCTTTCCTGGCCTCCCCACCTTCTTTTGTGTCTCAGCTAAAATCCCACCTTCTTCAAGAAGCTTTACCCAATCCCCTTTAATGCTAGTGTTTTCCTTCTAAGATCATCTCTAGTTTCTCCAGTATACATTTTGTTAGTACATTTTTTTAAAGTTGTCTCCCCCATTAGATTCTGAGTTCCTTGAGAGCAGGGATTGTTTATTTATTTATTTATTTTCCTTTTAAAAAAATTTCCAGCATTTATCAGTGCTTGGCACATAGTAGGTGCTTAATAAATATTTGTCAATTTGATTTGAAATTTTTTGTATCCCCAGTGCTTAGCACATGGCCTGGCACTTACAAAGTGCTTGAATGCTTATTAATTAATGATTGACATTCATCAAATACCTAGTTTTGGTCGTTATTATTGCTTTTGAAGTTAGATCTATTTGATCCAAAAGTATTTCTATACATTTTTAACCTCTTTGTTCATCATGCTTAATATATTCATCATCATTATTATTATTATAGACATTATGTAAAGCCTAAGAGTCAACATAGCTTTTGTCCCTTTATTCACTTGCATCTTCACCCTATCTTGAACGTTCTTTTCCCCTTCTCTGCCCGCATTTCAAATCTTGCCCATCCTTTAAGGCTTAGATTAAGTTTTATCTTCTCTGTGAAATTTCCCCCTGACTCTTCCATTTCACTCTTATCTATCTGGTTCTCTCAACTCCATTGGCATTTAACATCTGGCAGGGTTGTCAATCCCACTGCCTACTGGGGAATTAGGCTTCTTGCAGTCTCCAAGGTACATTATCTGTGCCTTTGCTCAGACTAATATGTAATTGCATTGGCAAATCAAAGAGAAATAAAGCTTAAGAGATCAGTGGCACCAATAAATAAAAGCTATCTGTCCAAAATACTCACCATATGAATTTGAAATTTATATGAGGCTTAGTGATATACTCTTTCATCTTATAGTAACTACTGTAATTCTGAGGGCACAGTAGATGTTCAATTAAATCAACAAACATTTGCTAAGCACTTAGTGTGTGTGAGAAGACAGACATCATGGAGCAGACAGGAGAACCAGGAGACAAAGAATCAGCCTTGCAATTAGGAAGACTTGGGTTCAAGTTTAGCTTCTGACACTGACTGGCTGAACATGGTTAACCACATGGTTAACCATGGCTGAATCACTGAACACGGCTAAATTACTTAGCTGCTCAGTGCCCCAGGTAACTAACTATCTAAGACTATAAGTTACAGGTGATATCAATCTGCTTTAGTGAAAGTAATTTCTATATCAGGAGTTCCTCATGTCAATGAAATCATAGGTCCCTACAATTAAAAAAAATAAATATAAGGAGGAGGACAAGATATTGTTCTAAGTTCTAGGGATACAAAAAGGTAGAAATGTTAAAGTGCTTTGCACATAGTAGGTGAGCAACAAATATTTGTGAAAGTTGATTTTTTGAGGGAAGGTGAAAAAGTGAAATGGGGGATGAAATAACATAAGAAGCTGAGGTGGGAAGAAGAGAAAGGAGAAAATGGATTGGGTAAGGGAGAGCTAATATTAATTCACATTTATATAGTGTTTTTAGGCTTGTAAAGGGGTTTAGGTGCATTCATTCCTTTAATCTTTAGTACAACTCTGTGCAGTAGGTGTTATTATCATTAACTTCACCATACATATGAGGAAACAGGCTCCAGAAGGCTTAGAGACTTGCCTGGCATTACCCAACTGCTAAATTGAGAAGATTCAAACCCAAGTCTTTTGCGCTCTAATCCCAGCACTCAATCCACTACACCTCATTCACTTTTCAAGCTTACCAACAACAACCTCAGTTGCCTCTTGGTACCTTTATTAAAATCTGGCTATTCACAAATTAATCACCCAGGCATTGACCTTTACCATTTCTTTTCATTTCTTTCATTTTATTTGTCTTCCTCGAATCTCCTTTTTATTAGAAATACATACCATATTTACTTCTAAGAGGTTAATTGTCTTTCTCTTTCATTTTTTATTGAACTTTAACTGCCTATAACCTTTATCAACTTTATTTTGACTGTTGGTAGACTCTCTGGAAATTTACCATTAGCTGTAATTTCATGTTCTGTTCACCAACCTTCACTTTAAACATAAACCTGTAACTTGCCCTTTTCAAAAATGTGATATTCTTATATTAACCCCATCCAGGGTATTAAACAGATAGACAGATGTGAGCACACACAGTCAACCGACACATAGGTTCCACATTTTAACGGTGATCATGATTTCCTAAGGCAAAGGTAAGAGTCCTTGTTGCCCCTCCCTACTTTTTTTTTTTGGTTGGGCAATGGGAGTTTCGTGACTTGCCCAGAGTCACAGAGCTAGTAAGTATTATGTGCCAGAAGCTAGATTTGAACTCAGGTCTTCCTGAATTCTGGGCCGGTGCTCTATCCACTACACCACCTAGACAGCCTCCCCCCTCCCCCACTTTCCTTTCCTACTTCCCATTCTCCAGTGTCTCTCCTTTATTTCAGAATTGGGTAACTCCTTCCAAAATCCCAGGATGCTACATTGCTAGAATGGATCTGAAGAGGTGGCAAACCTTTGCTATTCTCTTCCTGCCAGGACCCTACCTTCCATCCCTTCTTCCCACCACACACACAAGCAGCAAAAAATTCAGATGTGCCTGTTCAAGGACCCTGAATTAAAATTTCTGATTCTCCTTTGAAATAATCTGACCCTGCCTCACAAGATAGAATTGAAGGATGTCAAAGAAGAGAAGCTCAAGACTTACTGACTGTAGAGAGAAACATGATGACAAAGCCAGCAAACATTGGGATGTGATAGCCAATCCTAAGAGGGAAGCAAAAACAGCAACTCTAAGAGATTTATATGTTTCGCATTAGAGGGAGTTTGGATATTTTGTAGGTATGTACATGCATACACACATACACATTTAGAAGGAAAAGAGAAAGTAGGATAATAATGAGGGATATCTATATCTACTGTCTATTGATATCTATGTCTACATTATATTTGCCACCTTGTCATGCTGACCTTTTGGGGATAGAGGGATAACAAAGTCTGAGGATATTCTATGTACTTTCTCATACTCATGCACTCATATCCCAGGCAGGGTTAGCATGTTCATGTGTATTTGTGCATGAAAGACCATCCAGTGCATGAATCTAGATTCAACCTCAAATTTTTGTATATAGCTGTGTAATTACATATTCTTGCCTCACTATCGTCACATGTGTCTATGTCTATCTTTACATATACAGATATATGTACACATACACATGTATACTTTTATATAGCTATATATAAAAGTGTGTATGTGTGTATCTTTGAAAGTTCAGAATAACCTTATTCATGTTTGCCAACACTCCAGGTCATGACAGTGAAATTCTGACTATTCCCAACCCCTTGTTGTTTAAAGATCATACTCTGTAGCAAGGGCTGAGAACCTGCAGCCTTGAGGCCACATGTGGCCCTCTAGGTCCTCCAGTGTGGCCCTTTGACTGAATCCAAACTTTATTTTGTCCTGTGAAGTTTGGATTCAGTCAAAGGGCCACACTGGAGGACCTAGAGGGTCACATGTGGCCTCAAGGCTGCAGGTTCTCCATCCCTGCTCTAGAGCATTGACATGATATGGGCACATCCTGTGTCTTCTCCCTTCTTGGTTCAAACCTGATTAGGGGCTTAGAAGGCATCAAGCCACTGGATATTGCAAACAGATCCGGGACTCAGGACTGTGATTTGAGTATTTCATTATTATAAATATTCAAAGTTTTCTTTTTCCCCACAAGGACCTGAAATGCTGAAATTCCCCAGTTTCCTCCTCTAGCTTAAAAATAATATCTCTTGATAGAAATAGGTGCCTGAGCTCCCAACCACCTTGGGATGTTGGGATCCCCATTAAAGTATACCTGTTTGTGAGGAGCCCCACAAAGGGGTTGATCAGAAGCTGCATTATAGCCTTTGAGGCAAACAGAAGTCCAACTCGTAGATTTTCCTCCTCCAGGAACTCAGTACCTTGCAGACAATTGTTCCTAGGTGCCGAGCTGGGTCCAATGCCTTGTGGAGATAGGGTGCTAAAGGTACCATTCATCCATTCATTTTCTGAGTGTTTGCTTCCTTTAACCACCATTGTAGTATTATCAAAGTAGGAGAAGATGGAAGAAAAGTCGGCATTGTGGAGAATCCCTGGGGCACTGCTGCCAAAGGGCAAAGTCTCTGATACACTGGCGCCTTTGAATTCAGTTGCATAAAGGAAGGTAGGAACGATGGGCACTAGAATCCAATTAAAGACAGATGGTAAGTGACAGGGTAGGTGACCGATGACAGGGCAGGTTGTGATTCTGCCTCTATCTGGTCCAGATAAAAAGCTGGAAAAGCAGGCTACTTGTGCATGTAAAGTAGGTCTATGTGATGAGATTTGAAAGGGTGCCTGCAACAAGGGCTTGCCTACCTAAAACCATTCTGGCTGTCATTGTGCCTAAAAGCATCTACTTTTAAAGTTGCTCCTTCAGACTTAGATAAGATGTTTTAATAAAACATCCAGGAAGTCACTGTTCAAAAGTATGTTACCCAGAGGTGACAACATATTGGCATTTCTTACTGCATGGGAACAGATTAAGTCAAACTGGATTATCTGACTACAGTCTGGAGTGGGGAAACAAAGCACAAAGGGAATGGGAAACTAGACAAACAATTTGATGGGATGGAAGCTGGGAAAATCCAGACAACAGGAAGGGTAATCTCTGTTAGGGTACCACATTTGGAAGTAATAGGCAGCTGGGGTGGGGCTGGGGAGAGAGTATAAACCTACAGGGCACGTTGGGAGGATGATGAAGGGGGAATAAAAGGATGAGGATGGAGTTATTGGTGAACTCTGCAATTCTGCCTTAGTGCCAGGATTTGCTTTAATTCCTTCTCTGTTCTCTGAAGTTCCCTTCACATCCATTTGCCTTGATGCTGACTCCCTCCATTTGGAATGCTTAAGAAGCACCAGTATTTATCCTTCCCTCCTAAACCGCATCACCCTCTGAGCTAGTATTCCTGTGGTAAGAGATGTGACCAGCACAGATGAAACTGTAGGACAATTTTACCCTGCCCATGGATGATCCCAGAACATACCCACCACAGTCAGTAACATGTTGTCCAGCAGGAGTGCCACAAATACCACCACCAGCACCAGCTTTTGGGACTCTCTTCCCTCCTTCAGCCATCGGCAGGAAGTACAGAAGATAGCCTAGAATGTGGTAGAAAGTCCAGCTTGCTATTGTCTTTCCCCCTCACCCCTACCCCAGAATCTAATTCTCTCAGAGCTAAAGGTCTCCCATTTCATTTGTGGGAATGGGAAGAAACCTACTATTGCCAAAATTCTCTGTTAGATAGCTATCCAAAATATAATGGACTCCAAGTCTATTAGTCTGACTTTATTTTTATATATTTAGCTTTTAAATATCTAACTAAACTAAATTTTTACTGTTTCTAATTATCCTCCATAAGTACCATTTACTCTATTTGAATCTCAGAGCACCCTCTTGGTAAGCAATTGATACAGACTAATCCAACAACACTGGGGAGACTGAGATATCAAAATCAATAGTGGCTTAAATCATAAAATTCATCATAGAATGTGAACATTGGAGAGAATCTCAGCAGTCGTCTCATCCACCACTCTCCCACCCCGTTCTACAAGTGAGAAAGCTAAGACCTAGAGAAGGGAAATGATATGCCCAAGGATAGACAGCTACTTAGGGGCAGAGTTAGAACAAAAATCCAGGGCTTCTGCCTCTTGGCCCAATTCCCTTTTCATTACATCATGGTGCTTCTCTATGCAGCAGTAAGAAAGCTACAAGAAGAGGTCAAGCATCTCAGCTCCTTGTTTTTACTGTAAGACCCTCCTCAGACAGATTTTGTTATTTGGTGTAGTTAAACTACAGAATTCCATGGTCAGTTTTTTTTTTAATGTAAGTAGATTTCATGTAATTATCCTGCACTGGCTCATGATCACGTTAAATCTTTGCTGATTGAATAGTTTCTGGGGGCAAATTTCGTTTTCCTTGTGAGTCTTTTTGTCTTAATGACTGAGGTAGCATCAAAGATGTACTTTAAAAATGAAAAATAAGATCAGTGTTAGGGTTTGTCAGGGACTCTATACCAACTATTTGTTTGGGCAGGGATCCAAATGAATAAAGCAGCCTCAAATTTGCATTAGTTTTCCTCTAAGATCCCAACAATAATTTGTTTTCCTCAAATGTTAATATATATTCTGTTATAAAAAGTGACAGGAAAGTAGAATATTCTTGAAACTATAGAATACCTACTAGATCAATTGATTTACAAAGTGATTGACATGGGATCATAAATTTAGACCTAGAAGAGACCTAAAAAGACATCTAGTCCAACCCCCTCGTCTAAGAAGTAACTTAATCTCAGAAAAGTTAAGTGACTTGTCCATGGTCATCCATCTAATAACCTCAGAGGCAGGATCTGAACTTTTGTTATGACTTCAAGTCCAACAGTCTATATCCACTATGCGACAATGATGGCATTAACTTCAGTGCCAGAACCAGAATCCTTTCCCTGATAAAAAAATAAAATTTAATAAATAATTTTGCAGAGAACTCCATGAATTCAGTTATGATTTTAATTCATATGCAGAGATCAGGCTTCAAAAAAGTTGCCCAAGAGATACAGCAACATAAAACGGAGCCACAAAGAGGCTAAGATACAGAGAGACACAAAAAAAGAAAGAAAGAAAAGAGATGAGAAATACCTGAATAAAGGGAACAAGGGGGAATTAGGAAACAAGTAAAAGAGTAACATAGATTTTAAGCCAAATCCTTCTTGTATTTTGGATGAGGAATCACAAGCAAGGATCATGTTATATCCAAGAGAATAAAATTCTTACCTTAAAGCACATTGTGACCTGAAGTACTAGCTGTTAATAGCAGAAACTATGTTCTATGAAACTGGCAATATAGATGGATTTATTTTATCTGACAGTGAGTGTCTTTCTCCTGCAAAGAATTAATTGGAACCTCCAACAGGTTCCCTTTAGACTCTCAGCATCCTACGTCAGAGGCAGGAAGGCAGGACCAGGAAGAGAAGAAAAAAAAAAAGGAGTGATTATCCTAAGCAAAGATACACTGACTCTCAGCTGGCTTTCATCAATATTTATCTATCATCAGACTCTTAACTATTGCCCAAGTCTCTCCTTATATAGGTTTTTAGAATAGATGAGATGTTTTAGAGGCTCAACTGCCCTCACAAGGCAATCTCTGAGTCAGTGAAAAATTAATTTACACACAGTTCTGCAGAACAATAAAAAGGTCTTCAAATAATTGCCCACCTACAATTATCTCAGGCTGTGGACTCAGAATACTTGAGCAGGATATGATTTACAAAACCCAAAGCTAGAAGAGATGTTGGAGATAATCTAGTCCAAATTATATTTGCACAGGAATCCCTTTTGCAACATGTCTAACAAGTGGTCCTTCAACACCAGTTTGAAGACCTCATGCTTTTCCAAAGCATCATTGGACTTTAGAACATTACTAATTGCATGGAAGTGTTCCCTTTTATTGAGCTTAACTCTACTTCTGCACCTTTCAAGGCTGCACCCAGGTCTGCCTTCTGGGGCCAAGTAGAATAAGATTATTCCCTCTTCCATCTAAGAGTCCTTCAAATATTTGAAGGCAGTTATTATGTTTCTGCTGTCTTTTCTTCAAAAATGTTAGCAGCTTAATCCCTAGTCACCTTCACACAGGTGAAGAAAACAGAACCAAGAAAATAATATACACAAGCATTCATTTGTTCATTCTTTCATTCATCCTTCATTTTTTAAGAGGATCAATGACATCACCAGGTGACATCTTGACTTGCACATGAATTGGATTTAAGTGAGACAGTTACACAGAGTCATCAGTCTCACTCTGTCTTCCAGAGTCATCAAAATCCAATGGTAGGACAACAATCAAAACAACTGGTGATGGTCCAGGGTGTAGTAGATGACCTTGGAGTCTTTGATATATAATCAACCCCTAAGCCCTCCTCTGCTCCTGCTTCAGCCACCTTCATGGCCATTTTTTCTTTTTTTTTTTTTTTTGAGGCAACTGGGGTCTAGTGACGTGCTTAAGGTCACACACCTAGTAAGTGAATTCAGGTCCTCCTGACTTCATGGCCAGTACTCTATCCACTGTACCACCTAGATGCTCCCTTCATGACCATTGGAACAAATTGTTCTCATTCATCCCTTCCACCAAAGGAAGTCTTTGCATGTTTGAGGTATACATCTTTCTAACTCACCACAGGTTTGAGGCCTATCAGTTAGCGTCCACATGGTCTAGCCTGTCTGCTGAGACAGCAAATGGCAATACTACTAAACTTAGATTAATTGCAATGAACACTCATGGTTCTGAAAAACAGAATATTTAACATATATTCTTCCTCTTGGTAGTGTGGTGAACTGTAGGGGAAGAATGTTACAGGCACTGTCTGACTTGATTCCTTTCTTGTTCCTTCGGGATTAACTTTTCCTTTGTCACAGTGGAGGGTTCAATGTGATGTGGAAATGAGGGGCATATAGCAGAAAATGGCCATGAATTGTTTTTTTTAAGACATCAATTCAAAATGGTGGTGCGGAGTGTGGCTCACAGTAGCATCTGCAGGTGTTTCTGTGATTCCAGGTATCAATAGTTCATTCACTCAATAAGCAATAACTAAGGATCTAGATGTTTAACAAACCACCCAGTAGCTGGTAGCACAGTAGACAGAAAATGTTGGGCTTGGAGTCAGAAAGACCTGAGTTCAAATCCAGAATCAGACACTTCTAAGATGTGATCCTGGGCAAGTCACTTAATCTATTTGCCTCAGTTTCCTCAACTGAGAAAAAAAACAGAGATAATAATGTCACTTAATGCACAGGCTTGTTGTGAGGACCAAGTGAGATAACATCAAATGAGAGAAGATTTTAAAGCACTTAGCACAGCATCAGGCTCATAGTAGGTGCTTAACAAATGCCTATTCCCTTACTCTTCTATGTGCCAAGACCTTTGCATTAGACACCAGGCATAAAAAGACAGAAATGGAACAATCACTACCCTCCAGGAGTTTGCATTTTATTGTGGAAAAACAACATGTTGGCAGATGAATGAATAAAACATTTATTAAACACTTACTATATGCAAAGGAAAGTCAGACAGCCCTCCCCCTACACACACACACACACACACACACACACACACACACACACACACACACAGAACTCTAATTCTAATGGAGGAGACAACACGTAGGAAAGGTTTCAGCCACAAGTGAGATGGAATGGTCTCATGCTCCTTAAGGCGCAGCAGCAAAGAAAACAGAAATACCTTTTCTTTAATGTCATTCCCACTGATCAAATCATGCCAGTTTCTGATGTATGAAGAAGAACACAAATCATAAACAAATTAAATATACAATAATGTTGAGGGAGAGTAGGATACTAGCAAATAGTGGCATCGGGATAGGCTTAATTTAGAAAGTGACCCCTGAGTCAAGGTTTGAGGAAAGCTTAGGAAGTGAAGGTGAAGAGGGATTGCATTACAGGCTTAGAGCATTAATATTGGGAATAGTTCTCATTATTGTTCAGTGGTTCTCACATTGAGCTCAAAGGCTCAGTCTCAACAACACATACTGAACCATTTGCTTGGATGAGGGTTAGCTATAAGAGCAAGGGACTCTATGGTCCATGGAAGAGGAAGTTCGGATGTTCAGTTACCAGTCTTCCACACAGGTGGAGTGGTTTGGGTGTCTCAACAGCTCAGGTAATTTTCATGGTATTCTCAGAGGAGCCTCTTCCTCCCAAGCCTGGCAACGGGTTTGACTGGATTACACTCACCTCTAGCTTTAATTGACACAGTCTCTGCCAGACCTTACTGAGTAAATGACTATACTGCTTAGATCAGGAGTTACACTGTTGTGCCTTATTACTTCCTGCTGCTGCGGCTAGTCAAATATTTAGCCACAACTCAGATTTCCTCTTCTATCATCAAGCAGATGTCCATGTCCCAAACTCATTGGATGTGGGGAACAAAAGATAGTTTCCTTCTTTGACCACCAAAAAGAGGACTGGGGTGACATGACATGAGTTGCACCAACACGATGGGCGTGGTTCTGTACCAGAAGGAGAAGAGGGAGCTGTGAGGTGAATTAAGTACTTCAGAGCAAATCGAACAGAGCTCATTATAGAAATCTGGGATTTTTTGGTCTGGGGAAGGGAAGGACAGTGGATAGACCGAAAATACAACAAAAAGTCACCAAAAAAATAAAAAGATAATGACAGGACTTTATATGTACTTGGGAGGATCATAGACTTGAAACCGATGATGTACTTATTTTATAGATAAGGAAACTGAGGCACCAAGCCTGTATGCAACTATTATTTCTATGCAGATGATCCTCAGATCTATTTATTCTAGCCCTACCTTTCTCTTGCCCTTTACTTTCACATCAAATGCCTATTGGATATCTCAAACTGGATGTCCCATAGACATCTTGAACCCAACATGTCAAAAGGTATATTGGTTATCTTTCTCCCCAGACTCTCCCTGCTCCTTAACTTCCCTATTACTATAGAAGGTACCACCATCCATCCTTCTGTCACCCAGGGTCACAATGTAGGTGTCATCCTCAAATCTTTCCTCTCTTTTAGCCTCTATTTACAATCTGTTGCCAAGTCCTGTCAATTCTAACTTCACAATATTTGATCTATATGGTTCTTTCTCACCTCTGACATTGCCGCCATCCTGGTGCAGGCCCTCATTACCTTTTGGTTAGACTATACATAATTATTCTTTCCACATCATGGGGGTTAGGGATCTAGAAAATCTATGTAAATCTTTTTGGCCCTCCCTTCACACCAGAGAAGAAGTCTGATTTTTTTTTTCTTTTTCTTTTATGGGCTGTTTATAGTGTCTTATTGTAAAATTTGGATTAAGTATTTAGTCATGGGCTCTGTGTAATCTGCTGACCTTCATGTGTCATCTGCAGCTTCCACAAAACTCCCCCAACATTCCTATTTGATTTCGTATGCCCACCCACCATATATCAAAACCACAATGAGGGAAGTGGTGATGTGGAAGGAATAACTGTAACAGCTTTCTGGTTGGTCTCCGTGCCTCAAGTTTCTTCCTCCTAAAGTCAATCCTCCATTCAAAAAGATTTTCCTGAAACTCAGGTCTGACTATGTCACTGTCTATTCAATAAATACTAATCACTCTACTCTTTCAGGATCAAATATAAAATCCTTTGTTTAACTTTTAAAGTCCTCAGCCTTTATGACCTGGTCCTTTCCTACCTTGCCAGCATTCTTATATTGACTGCCCCTCATGCCTAGGAATCTTTCCCTCCTTCCCTCTGCTTCCTACCTTCCTTCAAGTCTCAGTTAAAGTCCTACCTTCTGCAACAAGCCTTTCCCAGTCCTTAATCTTAGTTCCTTCCCTCTAAGATTCCCTGTCTGCTTTAGTTTCCTTATTTATAAAATGAAGATAATAATAGCACCTACTTTCCAGGTTTGTTGTAATGATAAAATAAGATCATATTTGCAAAGCACTCTGCAAAGGTTAAAGCACCATATAATTATTATTATTATCACATAGTTGTTTGCACATTCTCTCCCTCATTAGAATGTGAGCTTTTGAGAGCAAAGAATGTGCTTTTTTGTTTGTTAGTTTGTTTTGTTTTTTGCCTTTCTTTGTAGCCCCAGTACTTAGCACAGTGCCTAGAATACAGTAAGTAGTTTAATAAGAAAAACTCTGACTCAGGCTCCACCTCGAATTTCCTGTGGCAATTTGTTTAAAGAACACGTCATGTACCCTTTTGAAGTTTGCAAAATCAAGCTTGAGACCTCAATGAAAGCTCCAGTTTTAACTGACTAGTTTCCTGTTTTTCATGATGTGGAAATATTAATCTTCTCCTCCTATCTGTAAAATTCCATTGAACATTACTTAATGTAACTGAATGGTATAAAAAGGCTGTGATATCTTTGTGGGGTGCTGTATAGTG